GCGCGGCCCGCCGGCTGCCCCCCTCCCGCCGTCTCTGACCCCGTGCGGCCGCCGTCCGTCCGCACCGGCGCTTGGGGCTCTGCGGAGCCGCGCACTCCGCTGCAGAACCGCCCATGGCACCGCAGCCGCGGTACGGTCGTGGTCCGTGATTTCATCGGAACGTCGCTGAGAGCGTGCCGGGGCCTTGGTAGAGACGAGCAAACGGAGTACGGGCTGTACCCCAGAGCTTCTCGGCTGGCGAAGGAGTGCTTTTAAAAATATATGCGAGTTGTCTCTGTTGTTGATATTTTGGTATTCTTTTTTTTTGTTTTTTAAATTATTATTCTCTTTAAAATAAAAAGTAATGCAAACAGTAAAAGGGGATGTATACATAACTTTTAAAAAACGTATAAGCAGTTACTCATCTAGCTCATGCTGAGTGGTAAACGCACGACAGCCTGAGGTTTGGGTACTCTCGAGGGGCGGCAGGGCTGCGGGGTCCGCGTGGGAGAGGGGCCGGCGAGTGGGGACGGTGCAGGTGGGAGACGCCTGTCGCATCTCCCGTCCCTGGGTACCGAGGAGTGTGTGTGTGTCTGAAGGCGTATGTATTCAGTGCGAGTATGAAAATGTGGACCAGCCTTTGATTTTGACATATCTTGGCTAAAGTGTACTTTTTTGTATGTAGTTCGGACAGGCCTTGAGTGCCGAGTGCTTCAGCTTCCTTTTTGCTGGGATTATAAGCCTGGGCCACCACACCTGGCTTCAAGTGCCTATGTTGATGTGTCGCTTGTTTCGTTGCCTTGGAATGGTTGCTGCATAAACGTGTGAGAGACAGGTCTCAGCACGGTGTGCACACTGATGTTCAGCGGCACGTAATAGGAAACCAACATGTGGACTTGTGTAGTTTATTGAAACGAGTGGACAAGAGATTGCAGGCTTGAGTGGATAGGATAGAGTGTGTAAATATACAAGAATACTGTATTGGAAACTTAGAGAGGAAAATGTGTTTATGAACTGGTAGTGACAGGAAAGTGGGAAGCAAAGTAGAAGTAGCCGAAGGAATAACTACTGATTATTCTAACTTGTGATTTCTGTTCCTATTTGTCAAAATAATGTTCTGCATATCTGTTTTTTCGATTTTATGAAAAAACCCGTACTGATTTTTTCTTTATTACAGAATATGTGTTCTCTGTAAAACATTTGAGGAAATAGCCTTTGAGTTAAAAAAAAAAGAAATTTTAATCTCAATCCTATTAACTGTTAACATGTTCCTCTCCTATTGGTCATTGGTGTGTGTGTGTGATGTGGGCCCCTTGGTGGGCCAGTTCTGTGATACAGATTCAGCAGTTGTTGGTGAAGCTAAACCTGGAGTATAATTCTCCACCCCTTTCAATAATTTTGTGATGACCTAATTCCTTATGTTAAATCCTATCTAAGGTAATTCTTTTTTTTGCAGTTGACTCTGAAGTGTTAAGTTGTTAACTTTGTGGATATAATTTCATATCATTATTAAAATTAAACTTTTTATTATACAATTATGGATTCACATGCAGTTATAAGAAATAATACAGAGGGATCTATATAGCTTCTAGTCAATTTTTTCAATGGCAGAATGGTAACATCTTGTAAAACTGTAGTAGGTTCACAGTTCCAGTGTTGACACTGATACAGTGAAGATCCAAAACATTTCCATCACTACTAGGATCTCTCCAGTTGCCTTTTGATAGCTACACTCGTCTTCTGCCCTATCATTTCCTTAACCCCTGAAGACTACCCATCTTTGCTGTTTTTACAGTTTTGTCATTTTTGAAAACGATGTGTAACTTATATCACATGGTATGTAACCTTTAGGGGTTGAAGTTTTTCACTTAGCCCATAATTCTCTGGGGATTCATCCAGGTTGTTGCCTATATCAATAGTTTCTTCTCCTCTTCCTCCTCTTCTTCCTCCTCTTCCTCCTCCTCCCCCTCCTCCCCTTCCCCTGCCCCTCCTCCATCCTCCATCCTCCATCCTCCTCCTCATCCCCTCCCCCTCCACGGTGTGAATGTACAATAGTTTATCATTCATCTTCTGAGAATGTGTGGGCTGTTTGTAGTTTTTGGCTATCGCCAAAAGATAAAAGAAAAAAGAAACAGACGTTTGTAAGCTTATATATACATGTTTTGTGTGAAAATAAACCTTCATTTCTCTGGGATAAATGTGTCAAATGGTAGTTGTATGTTTAATTTTTAAAGAAACTGCCAGACTATTGTTAGAGTTGCTGTACCATTTCACAGTCCTACCTGCAATGTATGTGTGATCCAGTGTCTTTTTGAGACAGGGTCTCAGTATGTAGTTCAGGCTGGCCTTGAGCTCACTTTGTAGCCAAGGCTGGCCTCGAACTTGGAATGATCATCCTGCTAGCGTGCACCACCACACCTGGCGAGTGATCCAGTTTCTTAAACCTTCCAGTGTTTGGATAATATGTGTGTAATGGTATCTCACTGTAGCTTTAACAAATTTCCCCATTGGCTAATGATATTAAAATCTCTTTGATATACATAAGCTCTTTGTGTTTCTTGCTCATTTTTAAATGGAATTGTTTTTGTTTTTTCATTGTAGGGTTTTGAGAGAGATTAGGATTTTCCTCAGAAATATGGTTTGTAAAAATTAAATTTTGGCTAAAATTCATCAATTAACTAATTTTTCCATATATATATTTAGAGACAGGGTCTTGCTATGTAGTTCAGGCTAGCTTTGAACTCACTGTATATCCCAAGCTGACCTTGAACTCAGGGCAGTCCTCCTGCCTCACCCTTCCGAGGGCTGGAATTACAGGCATAGGCCACCACGTGCGGTCAGTTTTTCCTATTGTAGATAGTAAGATTATTTGGGGTGTTAGGTGTAACAATGCATTGCTTCCTCCTAGATAGATGTATAACATATGTAACATGTGGGGGCAGGGGGCACCAGCAAAGACCACACAGGCTTGTGTAAAGGCAACATGGTGTGGAATTTATTGTGTCCGGGTGCAGGCAGGCAGAGAGTGCGATAAGCCCGTCTGCCCCAATCAGAGAGAAGTGTTTCCCTTTTATAAGGATGGAAAGAAAAAGGCAGGGGACACTGGGCGAGAAGATCTCAATAAGCATCTTTGGTCAAAGCTTTCTGGCAATCTTTGCACCTCAGTGGGCAGAGTCCTTGAAGTGTCTGATGTAAATTTTTGGGTGTTTCCAGATGTCCCCAGGACCTGCAAAATGCCTTGTCCTGTCTTAACCTCCTTTCCTGTGCTTGCCATGACAACATGATACTGAGCTGAGTTCCCCGCAGAGAGTACAGTTTCTACTTCTGCTGGCAAGCAGGTTGGGGGCTGAGGGAGTCTGTGTGTGTGTGTGTGTATATATATATATATATATGTGTGTGTGTGTGTGTGTGTGTGTGTATGTGTGTGGTACTAGAGGTCAAATTCAGGGGCACTCTACCACTAAGCTACATTCCCAGCACTTCTTAGTTTTTTTTGAGACAGGGCCTCACCAAGTAGCCTAAGGAGGACTTGAATGTGGATCCTCTTACCTCAGCTTCCTACAGTTCTGGGATTACAGGTGTGTGCCACTGCACCTGCCTAGAGTTAAGTCCATATATTAGTTATCTTTCTGTTACTGGGACAACATACCTGACACCCGCAACTTAAAGAAAAAGAGGTTTAGTTTGGATCATGTTTTCAGAGGTTTCAGTCCATGGTCAGCTGCTTCCAAGGCAGAAACATCATGCAAAGGGTCATGGTAGAGGTAAATTGTTCAAAGTATCATAGCCGGGAAACAGAGATAGAGACAGGCACAGGGAGAGAAAAAGAAAGAGCAACACCCTCCAAAGGCATAACCCCAAATGGGCCTCACATCCTAATAGTCTGTTCGGTTATGAACTCATCAGTGGATTGATCCATCGATTAGATTAGTGCCCTCATGACTAATCACTTTCCTAAAACTTCACCACTGAACACATGAACCTTTTGGGTGACATTTTGGATAAACCATAGTGTCTGCCCCTGACCCCCAAAGGACTGTTGTTCATCCTCTCACTGTGCAGAATGTGTTCAGCCCATCTCCAAGAATGGCCAAAATCTTAACAGTTCCAGCAGCATTACTCAGAAGTCAAATTCAAAGTCTTCTTTTGAGACTGAAGGCAAATTCTTAGCTTTGATCCCATATAAAAATAAAAAAGAAAGTTGAGTATTTTCAACATGCAGTGGCACAGAGTAAACAATCCCATTCCAAAAGGGAGGAATGGAGGCATAGAAAGGAATCGGACCAAAGCAGAAGGAACTCAGCAGGGCAAACTGTGTAGTCCTGTAGTCCATGTCTGGCACCTGGTAGTAAGATGTGAACTGCAAAGGCTGTGGGCAGCCCGACTTACAGCCTTGCCAGCTGTAGCCCACATCGCATCTCTCATGGGCTTGCCCTATTTGCTACCTGCAGCTTTTTCCAACAGATGTTCTTCCTTCCTCATATCTCTAGCTTCCTGGGGTCTCCACTGCTTCATGCTTTCACTCTCATAGCTTCATGCATTACTAGCTATATTGTTAGTTCCAAACTACCTTTTGAGCAGGCTTAATCACTGCTCAAAGCCCTATAACAGTCTTTCTATGTTAAAAGATCCACGACCACAAGTCAATTTAGGATTTAGCTTCATTACTGCCTGAATCTTACACTAGTGTTCATTCTAGAATGAGGTGTTACTGATGCGATTTCCTCAGTCTTTGAGGCCAGCAGCAGTGCACCTTGGGTCCTTTCGCTGTAGTCCTCTCTAATCACAGCTGCTGAAGTTTCTGTTCCAAAGATGCATATGATTAGATGGGCCCACTTGGATAATTCAGGATAATCTCCCATCTCAAGGCCCTTAACCTTGATTATATCTGCAGAGTCCTTGGTACCATGTAAGATAACATTTTTACTGATTCTGGAATCAGGACTTGGACACATCTTTATGAGGGCAACTATTTTGCCTGTGATTTACTTTTGATAGGTAATTACATTTGAAATGAATTTCTTGCCATCCTTGTATGCTGTTAAACAGCCATTGTGAAGCATCATTTCCAGCACTGCTTCTCTCTGCTGAAGCATGAGTTAGTGTAATCATCTCCTTTTTTCCTTTAGTGTGTTTGGCAAATTTAGATGGGGTGATTAAGCAGGCACATGTACAGTCCACTTGTTGTTGTTTATCATTAAGTCTTAGAACTTAGCCTATGTGCTAAAATGTCTACTCTTTGGATTTGCTCTGTTTTCTATTTGTAGGGATTCACTTACGTCCTTATCAACTGGAGGGAGTCAACTGGCTAGCCCAGTGCTTCCAGTGTCAAAATGGCTGCATCCTGGGAGATGAGATGGGCCTGGGTAAGACCTGCCAGGTATGTTACTAGAATGTGCACTGTTCCCTGCCCTGAAATATCTCCTCACAACTCATCATCATCTTTATTTATTTATTTATTTGTTTGTTTTTTTCCGGTATCAGGAATCGAACTCACGACCTCACGCTTGCCAAGCAGGTGCTGTGCTGCTGAGCTAAATCCCCAGCCCCATCATCATCTTTAGATGATAGCTGCAATGTGTATTTTTATAGTAGGTTGTGAAATGCCCAAACATTTAATATGTCAGAACCTTAGAGTTGATTTTTGTAGTTGGGGGGATGGTTTTGAATTTTGTCACTACCACTGTCTTATCTGGCCTTTGATATGTATCTGTGAGAAGACATTCCTGAGTTAAAAATGCAATTAATTGGCCCAGAGACAATACTTTTCTCTGTGTAAAATAAGTATTCCTGTCCAGGAATCAAACTGACCCTGACCTCTTTAGCAAAACTTTATGTAGTTAATGGGATTGCTTATAATATTAATGTCCTAGTTTCCTTTCCTTGCTTGCGGGTGTTGGGCATGAATTCTCTGGTGTTGCAAACAGGACAAAACTTTTGACAGTTCCTTAGCAAGGCAAACTTTGCTTCTGCAGAAGGGTGCATAGCCAGACAACTCAAGCAAGCACATTGAGCGGGCAGTCTCGAACACGTAGACTAGCCTATATGCAGAACAAAGCAAAACAACTGTCAGCTCAGCTGTCTCCTGTAAGGCTCACCTTATGTCCATAAATTTTAAGCTGGAGCAGTCTGCATATAGGCTAGTCTGACTAGAGTTATTCAGAATACAATGTGACCTCTGAAGAGCGTTCTCTGAGATACTTCACTTATCACGCCTCATTTTCTTTTTTTTTTTCACACCTCACTTTCTCAGGCTAATCTGTCTGTCCTTAGTACATTCCTGAACTGAGAACTGTGGAATTAGATCAAAGATCAGTTTTCTAGATTTCTGTGGGAGCTCAGCTAAGAGGCTCTTGGACCCATCAGGGGCCCCTTCCTGCACTCTCCTTTGCATCAGTCATTAGCATTATCCTGTTCACTTTGTTCAGAGCCAGCAAATTCCACTTGTCCTTTGCCTTTCTAGGTCTCCTTTAAAAATTCCTAGAAACACCAGATTTGATAGCTCACACCTGTAGTCCTAGCAGACTGAAGCCTAAGGATCGTATGAGTTTGAGGCTAGCCTGCACTACATAGTGAGACTCTGTCTCAAAACAAAACAAATCTGTAAAAATATACCCCCTCCACATTTGTTTTACTAAAAGTTTGTTCAGAATTTTTGCATCTATATCATAAACAATACTGAGCAGTGATTTCTTTCCTAAAGTATTTTTGTCTGACTTTAATATTGAGTTAAAGCTGGCCTCAAAATGTGTTGAGAAGTGTTCCCTGTTCAGCTTTCTGGCAAAGCATATGTAGAATTGGTACCATTTCTTCCTTAAATGTTTGGTAGAATTCACTAGTGACTTCAGATTGTTTTGCAAACAAATCTGGTTTATGGTAATAAAAGATAAACCTCTTCTAAAGTGGCTCCTCAGGGAAAACTAAGCAGAATGTTTTTACTCCAGTTAGATTGCTTTTTGGGGGGTTACTTTAGGCATAGTTTTTGCTGGGAAGCTATAGATAATTTAAAGAGAAAATTCCTTCCTTTATAAAATTAATATAATCTTATTTAAAGAATTAATCATAGCACTGTAGCCACAGCCATAAGTAGCAATGTGTGTTTTACATGGTTGAAACTATAGTGCCTGTATAGTTCACATACTTTGTGTTTTTTAATCTAACACTGCCGTTATAATTTTACATTTTATTTGTTCTTCACAATCATTTTTAACTGACTACATAATATTCCATCAATGGAACTTACTATTTTTACTTAAATGTCTACAGAAGCAGAATGGTGAGTTTTTCCCTTTTTTGGGATATTTAAACTAATCTTGATATGAACACCTTTGGGCATACAGCTTTCTCAATAGTTTGAATTATATCTTAGGATAGATTTTTCATAGAAATAGCTCAGCATTTGGGGATGGAAGCTTCTCACACATTTTTGTTTTACAGAAAGTATTATTTTTCCTGTATGTCACAGCAGTTTTCAAGTCATAAGTGTATGTGGCATCTCCTGAAGTATGCTCACTCGGCTTTACAAAGATTCATTTCACATCCTTACTCCGGCTTATGAGGATAATTTATTGTCTGTTTTTTCTGTTTGAATGTGTGCTCCAGGCAAGCAGGGAGTTTGTTTTTGTTCACCATTATTTAGCAAGAGCTTAGCTCAGTTTAGTGCTAAGGTGATTCACATGTACACGTGGGAGGGAGAAAAATAGTAGGAGAAGGAGGGAGGAAATTGTGGAGGGAAGAATATAAGAAGGGAAAAAAATACCCTGAAATGATGAGCCCAGCAAGCAGCAGGGTCATTTTTGGGTCCCTTTTTCGGTCATTTTTACAGCCCTGTCATGACATTCCTGGCTTTGGTTTTAGAGTATTCCTGATCTTATTCATCAAATGTTTTGTTTTCATTGATTTCTATTTTTCCTTTTCTCTTTGCATTAAAGACTCAATTATGTGAATATTGAGCCTCATTGTTAGCTACTGAAATAATTTACGAACATAAATTCCTTTGGCAAATTTACTGAGGTTTACATGATTTCACTCTAGGAATGGGTTACTTTCCTAATGTGTAGAAGATTGTATATATTTTGTAAAGTGAGTCATAAATAAGAGTTTTGTGTTCCCTACAGCTGTGGGAGCTTTATGGTTGTTTCTTATGGGGAAATCTGATCAAAACTGTCTTCTTCTGTGTTCCAGGCTATTGCTCTCTTCATTTACTTGGCAGGAAGATTAAATGATGAAGGACCATTTCTGATTCTTTGTCCCTTGTCTGTTCTGAGCAACTGGAAAGAAGAGATGCAGAGGTACTGTCTTAATTACTTTTCTCTCATTGCTGAGACAGAATACCTGACACCCAAAATTAAGGAAGGAAAAGTTTATTTAGCTCACAGTTCGTGGAGTTTTCAGTCCATAATCTGCTGGCTCCAAGGCAGAGTGGCACATGGCAGAGGGCAACAGTTCATGGTGGTGGAAAACAGCAGAGCAACGAGAGTAAAAGGGAGGAACAGTGGCAAGCAGCCTCTTTCCCTCCCTTATATTATATGCAAACTACCCACCCCAGAGCAGGTGTAGTGCTCCCATCCATAATTCCAACCTTGGACCATGGATCAATCAAAAAACCCTAGAAGCCCACGCTACAACTGCATGAGGCTTTGGGGGGACGTCCAGACATAAACCATAACAGGTACAGAAGCAGATGTGGCTGAAATTTTATTGTTTATGTTGGTTAAGATATTTTTCTGGATGATATATAAAATAGGATTAAAAAAGCACTTTGCCATAATGAATAAGTTCATCATTGCAAAGCTCTGAACTGAAGCGATGTAAGTACACACTGAGAATCTGATAGGGCGAGGGCCCATTTGATCTTACTGTTACCTGGCAGTTCACAGTCACTGCTCATTTTTTAAAATTTTGCTGAACTAAAGGAGAAACAAACCATCCTTTACCTTGTAGTTACATAGGAAGTAACATGGAAAAGATAGTTTTACTTTCAGAGTCAGCACAAGACCCTGTTAGACTTGGCCCCTCTTACACAGGACATTACCCTGAGGTTTAACCATTCCTATAGATAAGGTTTAAAGCTTCAGGACTCTAGGTACAGGGTTATATTAGTAAGCTTCCCCTTGCTGGGACAAAGTACCTGGCACCCACAATTTATTCATTTTTTTTTTTTTTTTGTCTTTTTGAGACAGGGTCTTGCTGTGCAGTTCAAGCTGGCCTTGAGCTCACTCTGTAGCCCAGGCTGGTCTCGAACTCACAGTGAACCTCCTGCCTCAGCCTCCTGAGTGCTGGGATTACAGACATGTGCCACCATGGCTGGTCTGACACCCACAATTTAAAGGAGAGATTTCACTTGTCTTATGGTGTCAGAAGTTTTGGTTCACAACCTGCTGGCTCCAAGGCAAGAACATCATGTTGGAAGGGCGTGGCAGAGGAAAGCTGCTCACCTCATGGCATCTGGAAACAGGAAGCAGAGCAAGGGAATAAGAGGAAGGGGTGAAGACTCAGATACAGTATCAGAGATCAGGCCTCTGGGGCCTACCTAGACATGCACATAAGTGTGGTCTTCCAACCCTCTAGGTGAAACCCAAAGTCAACTAAATTGACAGTCCAGCAATCAGCTTAACTGTCCAAAGGCTCTAAGAGGTCTTCATGTTTCCAGATAGGCATACCCTATCCCACGGCTCAGGCATTTGGGTTTATCTGCCTCTTTTCTTTGGATTCAGATGTGCTCCAGGTCTTTCCTGTGTAACATATGCAGGTGACAAGGAGGAAAGGGCCCACCTTCAGCAAGACTTAACACAGGACTCACACTTTCATGTGCTGCTGACTACTTATGAGGTACTCATTTGTTTCTCTGTGCCAGAAACTCCCAATCTGGGACCTTTATAAGTTTTCAAATCCACTAAAATTGTATTTAACTTTTTTTGGAAGTACACATTTTCTGAAAGCAGAGTCTGTCTTCATTATATACTCAAAGAGGGACTGTGACTGTCTTGGTTACTTTTTTGTTGTTGTTGCTGAGGCAAAATACCTGATGCCCAGAATTAAAGAAGGAAAGGTTTATTTAGCTTACAGTTTGTGGAGGTTTTAGTCCATAATCAGCTGGCTCCCGAGCAGAGTGGCACAAAGGGCAACAGTTCATGGCGGCGGAAAACAGCAAAAGCAACAAGAGCAAAAGGGAGGAGGAGTGCAGCAGCAAGCTTCTTTCCCTCCCTTATATTGTATGCAGGCTGCATACAATATGTATGTGTAGCACTCACATCCATAATCCCAGCATTGGACCACAAATCAATCAAAAACTAAAAGCCCACCCCATGACTGCATGGGGATTTGGGGGGACATCAGGATACAAACCATAACACTGACCAAAAAAAAGTGAAGGATCATTGTGCCTCAATTAGATTTCTTTCCTTCTTTCCTAGGCTCCAGGGGGAAGCCTTCGAAGGGTGGTAGCACTTGAGTTGCTCTTTATTAATGAACAGGAGGAGTCAGGCTGGTGGAAATGGTTTTGTGTATGGAAGCATCCAATCTACTGGGGGATAAGTGTGGAGGACACAAAATCTTGATCTTTAAACTAAGACTGGGTCACTGTAAGTGAGACTTTCTACCTAATCATGCCTCCTTTCTACTTGTAAGGTGATGCTAGAAATTATGCTTAGGAGCTGAGTGTGGTGGTTCATGTCTGTAATCCTGTACTCCAGAGGCTGAGGCAGGAGGATTATGAGTTTGAGGCTAACCTGGGTTACCTAGTGAGACCTTGTATCCAAAAAAAAAAAAAAAAAGAGATAAAAGAAGGAAACAAAGAAAAAATAAAAATAATGCTTAGAACTTTTTTTAACTTATTGAACAAGTAAGATGTACTCAGTACTAGCTTTTTTAATGTCTTCCTTAATTTTTCAGATTTGCTTGAAAGATGCACTATTTCTAAAATCGTAAGTCGGTTGTACTACTTTAGAAATTGTGGGATATATTACAAAAGTCATCTCTCCTTCATGTGCCGCTTTCCTGCCTTCTTTTGTACGTCTTTTCTGAGTTTTGTCTAAGAATAGGCAGATATTGCAGCCTCCTGTGTTCTAGCCTCTTACTCTTTAGCTGTGTATCCTTGGATTAGTTACTTAATCTCCATGAGCTTCAGCTTCTTCAGCTATAAAATGAGAATAATTAAATTTCTTACCATGGATGGCTGTTGTGAGACATGAAATGAAAAATACTTGCTTGGTTAGTAGATACTAGACAGTTTTCATTGCAATTTGTGTAGACACCCGTCAGGACTATTGTTGAGAACTTTTTACTGTAATATATGAGGTGAGTCATTTAAACCCTTTACTGGAGATAACTGAAAGTACGGTAGTAATCAGTACTATAAAATTAACTTTTTAAAAAGGAAATTTGAAATACATTTCTAATTACTTAATTTTGGGGCTTCGTATTGACCCCTTGAAGTACCAGAACCTGAGATTTAACTGCTAGTACTACCTAATAGGAATGGGTTATTGCACTGTATGGTCATGCCATGATAACAGCTATGATCAAAATTAAAGAACTAGATTTTAGGTAAATAAGAGAGGAAGATATTTTGGCGGGGTTTCATTCTCCATAGCCTGTGTAGTTGTAATATAGTTCGATGGGAATTCTGCATCTTTAATATTCAGAAATTATTGTTTTCAAAGTTCTTCATCAGTATTTTAAATTTTTTTCTGTCATCCAGGTTCTTGTGACTGATCTATGCTTGCATCATTTTGAAGCACTAAAGACTAGGATGTAGATGATTTTATGACTTCCATCTAATATTTTGTTTTACTAGTTTCATATAAGTGAGCATATTATCTTGCTTTTCTTAAGAAGACTATATATTCTGCCTATATATTTATTTAAATTTTATTTTTGTGGTGCTAGGGATCAAACCCAGGGCCTTACACATGGTAGGCAAGTGTTCTACCACTAAGCTATTTCTCCAGCCACTTTTAAAAATTCTTAACATCCTGTTTAACACTTGATGAAGTCTTACTGGAAATGACTGTTCTAGGAGTTACTGGCAATTCTAGGAAAGTAAATCATAGCACTATCCTAAGAGGACATGAAGTCCAATAGAGGGATAAGAAGGACATAGATATTCACAGTACAATGCAATATGTGGAAAGTTTCAAAAGATAGTAAAACTGGGACATAAATGTTGTTGAGTACTTTTTATAAATTAGATTTCATGAAAATCCTTGTAGGCAGGTCTTAGCACACAGTTTACAAATGAGAAAAATAAGAGATTAGGTAACCTGCCTAGGCTACTTTGTTAATAAATGGTAAAGCAGACATTCAAACTCAGCAGTCCAGCTTGTACCTTCTTTTTTTTTTTTTTTTTTTTTTTCAGCTTGTACCTTTACTAGAAGAACTTCGTAAACTGTCTGGAAGAATTGGAGGGTCACACTGTTCTACAGAAACAGCATCTATCTTAGATAACCTGTTCTCAATGCATTTCTAGATGGATTTAAGAACCTTAGTAACAGAGAAACATTTGTAATGTTGACCCAGAGTACTAATCCTAACAAAACAGATGCATTCTTTTAACATATTTGTTAAGGTTCTGTTTTCCATTACTGTGTTGTACATTATGAAAATAGCAGGGAGATATAATATAATTTCTGCTTTAGTCAGACAGTTATGGACAGTTAAGATGGTACATGATGATCATATGAAAGCATTGAAATATTTTGGACAGTAGACTTGTAAAATCTTTGATCGAAGGGATTAGGAGTTAGCTCATTGGACTTTCCTTTTACAGTCGGGGTTCCTTCCACTTCTTCCTCTCCAGGGAGGATGTCTCTTTCTTTTAAGTCTTCAGGCATACTAAGCAAGTATTGTACCACTGAACCACATCCCAGCCTTAAAGTGTCTTAGTGATTTTTTTTAGACCCACTTTCTATTCTCTCTCTCTTTCTCTTTTTCTATCTCCCTCCCTATCCTCCTGCTTCCCTTCCTTCCTTCCTTCTACCCTCCCCTCCCCTTTCTCTGGTCTCCCTTCCTCTCCCCAATCCTCCCCTTTCTCTTGTACTAGGGATTGCAACCAGGGCCTTTTCACAGAACTACATCTCCAGCCCTTTTTTATTTTGAGACTGTCTTATTAAGTTGCCTAGGCTGGGCTCAAACTAATGATCCTGTTCCCTCAGCGTCTCAGAGTGTGAGGTTTACAGGCATATACTACTACATTTAGCTATGACTGCAACTTCTGGAGAAATTGCTGTTCTAATCCACCACACTATACCCATGAGCTCTAAATTTACAAATGCAACAGATACATTTTCCTTGACATGTCTGAAACGCTGTACTTGATTTGGTTTACCACTTCCCCATTTTAAAAACCTATATCTTTTGCTACTATGACCTCACTGTCTCTGATTTTTCTTGTGATTTTTCAGCTCTGCTTTAATGACCTTGAACAAGTCACTTAATCTTTTTGAGCTGTGGTCTCCTTGTTGGCACAGTTATGTGTATTTGCCATGTGCTCTTTTTTTTTTTTTTTTCTCCGGTACCGGGAACCGAACTCACAACCTTGCGCTTGCCAGGCAGGCGCTTTTGCCGCTGAGCTAAATCCCCAGCCCCTTTGCCATGTGCTTTTGGACCACATAAACTACAAGCTCAGTGTCTGGCACAGAGTGCAATGTTACAAATGTTTTCTTTCTCCTCTGTCTCTGGCTTCTTCCTTTTTGTATGTGTGTCTTTCCCATCTTGGAGAAAAAAAATTCCTTTTACTACCTTCTCCAGATGTTGTCTTATGCATGTAGCACCCTCTCTGATCGGTAGACATTTCTAATAGATGGCTCACTGCTAGTTTTTCTAACAACAGTCACAATTTTGTCATAAGACTTGATTGCGAGATGTGTATGAGTCAGAGAAGCTAAAAGCTTGGGTTTTCTTTCACAGCTTTTCTTGGAGTGTTCTTGTTGTGGATGAAGCTCACAGATTGAAAAACCAAAGCTCTCTGCTGCATAAGACACTTTCAGAGGTAAGCTCCAATGGTTGTCATAGCTTTTATGGACACTCCTCCCTTTTTAATAGAGCAGTTCTGGGTTCACAACAAAATTTAATGAAGGTGCAGAGAGTTCCCTTGTTTTCTTATGCTCACATAGTTATAATCTTTCCATTATCATCATCTTCCTCCAGAGTGATACATTTGTTACAACTGATGAACCAACCCTAGCACATCGCATCACCTCATGTCTATAGTTTAGGGGTTCACTCAGTATTGTACATTCTGTGGGTTTGGATACATATGTAATGGCTTGCATCCACCATTGTAGTATCATACAGTGTGGTTTCTTTCATTGTCTTAAAAATTCTCTGTGTTTCCATCTTTTCATCTCTTCTTTTTTGTAGCTGCCTCTTTAAAAAGAAGTACTAGTTTAGGCCTGTACAGAGACAATTTAATCCAAATATTTTTTTTCAGTCGGATTTCAATAATGATAACATTTTTAAGTAACCAGGTGGTATTTAATATGACCCAACTTCTCCTTCCTTACATCCTTTCTGTAGGAGATAATGTTTGCTAAAATCTGGTTATGAAATGAATAAGGCCTTATTCCAGTAAAATGCATTGTATTTTTGAAAATATCTCAGTTGTTTTGATTGTCCTGTATTTCTTTACAAAAATGACTTTTATTACACTTCATCTGTTTGTAATAGCAGATATATTGGGCATATGATGACCTTCCCCGAGTTTACCTGTTTAAACTTGACAGTTCACATGGAGTCATGAAGAGATCACTTTCATACCATTGAATATTACATCCAGTCTCTCTTGCTTATCTTTGTAATATTTTTGACTATGATCCACCTGCTGTCATTCTTTTCTTTTGATCTTTTGGATCATTCTGGCAAAGTAGATGAGAAATACTCCAGTTAGATTTGCCCTATTTTCTGAGGAATGAATGGAATGTGAACTATCTCCCTTGTTCATCTGGTAAAGGCTTGTTCCTTTCTGAAACCAAGCATATTAATTTTTGTGATGATCCTTGAAGTGTGTTCCCCTTCCTATAATAAATCACTTATATTTAGAGGTCATTTGGAGGAAAATCTCAGGTCTGAATTCTGTATTTTAGTGGCCTGAAAGTTGATCCTACTTACAATGAACAGTCCACAGGCTAGCCACCTCATTTTTTTTTTTTTTTTTTCTGTACTGGGAATTGAGCCCAGGGCCTTCACAGTGAGATACATTTCTAAACTCCCCACCCCCTCTTTGAGACATAATCTCACAATGTAGTTGAAGCTGGCCTTGAACTGTGTAGCCCAGGCTGGCCTCAAACTTGTGATCCTTATGCCTCACCTTCCCAAATGCTGGGATTACAGGTGTTTGCCACCACACCTGGCTTCTAGGCCTTTTTATTTATTATTTTGAGATAGGGTGTTGCTTAGTTCTCCAGGTGGAACTTGAACTTGCCGTCCTCTTTCCTCAGTCTCCCAGAGTAGTGGATTATAGGCTTGTGCCATCGTACCCAGTCTGATCACTTTAAAGGCTCCATCTCTTAAGATTATCACATTGGCAGTACCTGGAATTTGGACAGGACATAGTCACACCATAAAATTGTCCTATTCCTAGTTTCTTTTTTTTTTTTTTTTTTT